GAGGGGCCTTGCGGGCACTGCAGGATTTCAATCCTTGTCAGCATAGTGTGTTCCCAATTGTTTTCTTTGTGACTGTGGTCCCAGCTGCCTGGAGATCCTTGACAAGATCCTCACGTGTAGTTCTGGGATGATTCCTCACTGTTCTCATGACCATTGACACTCCACAAGGTGAGATCTTGCATGGTGAACCAGACCTAGGGAGACTGACAGTTGCTTTGTGTTTCTTCCATTTGCAAATGATTGCACCAACTGTTGTCACCTTCTCACCAAGCTTGGCAATAGTTTGGTAGCCCAGTCCAGCCTTGTGTAGGTCTACAGTCTTGTCCCTGACATCCTTGGACAACTCTTTGTTCTTTGCCATGGTGGAGCGTTTGGAATCTGATTGTTTGATTGCTCCTGTGGACAGGTGTCTTTTTTATACTGGTAACAAAATGAGATTAGCAGCTGTAAGGGAATCCCGGTGAGACGATTGGCGAATAGAAGTGCGCATGTGCACAGAAATGCGCGATCGTGCACACGCACGGTGAAGATTGGTGCCAGACAGACTATTTTAAAAGGTGCCTCTGCCTGTGCCTGTGCTGCCACTGATATTTCAGCTGTTCCCTCGTTTTTCTGCTCGGCGTCCTGTGTGATTTCTTTCCACAAATATAAAGTGCTGACCCGGCTTGGATTCCTGACTAAGTTGAATCTCTTGATTACTTTTTGTGTCGGTTTAGCTTCTCTGCTTGATAGGAAAGGGCTTGTTTACAACTAACTACACGCTTCGGCTCTCACTTGACTCCCATGACTGGTGCTTTAGGCTCTGCTGGACGTATGATGGAATTTGGCTTTTTCTTCTTATTTAGCCCTTATTGGAGGCACCATTAACAATTACTAACATGGTTGGCTCTCTCCAAATCATTGGCACAGCGAAAGGCGTAGATGCTTTTTTCCATTCAACCATTGCTCCGCCGTCCCACCGTTGATATATGTGGTGCCCACCCTCCTGCACCCAAAATACAAGTTGTAGGCTGTTATCCTATGACATTGCTCCTTTATTCACACAAGTCCCATCCCGCTGTCGAACTTCAGCTGCAGCTTTTATGCAGTTGTGCAATTAAAGGCTAATATTGCATGGTGCACACCTGGCGACCTACCATACCAGCTCTGCATATCACTACTATTCCTGAATCTGAGGTTCATCAGTCTTCCAAAGTCTCCACTGAATTTCAGCACCCATTTTCGTTTCAAAATTATGTTAAGATTAGCTAATTTTATGCAAGAGCTGCAAACATCAGCTGGCACTCTTGTCATCCTGGTCCCTAAACACCCTCTGTTCCACTTCCAGTGGGGTCAGGGCTAGTGACACCAGTGAGGCCGACCTCGTCATATCAGTCTCCAATCAGGTACGTGACAGCAGCACTCTCTTTTAAGAGACTGCTTCTAATCTCAGCTTGTTTCCTGTATGACAGACACCTGGTAGCCAGAAATCCTGCTCAATGATAGGGGATCAAATACTTATTTCCCTCATGAACATGCAGATCAGTCATCATTTGTTTGAATAGCAACAAAAAAATTCAAAAGAAATGCATGTCTGTCTCTCAGTGTTACAATACACCAACCATTCGATTTGTAAACTGATCATTTCTTCGTGAGTGGGCAAACATTCAAAATCCGCAGGGGATCAAATAATTATTTCCTTCGCTGTAGCTGTATGGGTGGAGCCCCAAACAGCTACACTGTTTTTAAGATGTGACAGTGGGTATGGGGAGAAGTCACACCAATGGGGAGGCAGGGCAGCAGGAGATGGAACATGTTACATGTTCCACCCTAAATAACGTAAACCTTGTCTATAATCTATGATAGATTTTAATAGCTTTATCCGTTGGGTCACCTGTGGAATTAGGCGACACTAAACCTTTGACAAGCCACCCAGTTATTTTATGAAGAATACAATATCACAATAAATTGTACACTGGGACGAAGTCTCTTGTGATTCTTTATAAATGTAGTGTTTTTCACAAGCATACTGGTTTTGGGAAGGTGATGTCACTGAAATTGAAACTGAATACCTTGCCCCCATGCAAGCACAAGTCTGGCCCTCAGTGAAAATTACTAATTGTACATAGCATATGTAAGGGTACTACACACAGGCATGCACATTCTCCACCTATAGAGGGAGATACAAAGGGAATTAAAGGTGACCTTACACCTGTAGACAAAGCGCTTTTTGTCAAATCTGGTAAGAACTAATGAAGTTCTAACTTTTGATATTGCTCTCATCCAAGAAAAATCATTGCTAGTGTTATGTGCATTTGTCAAAATTTAATCCAGAAATGGAATATTCTACTAAAATCACAACATTCACATGGTACTTGAACAAAAAGTCATTTGAAATCACTCAAATCTGCGAAGGCACCATCTAATGGTTGGATAAGTGATTTTTAACGCTTTCTCTTCTGAACATTTGAATGAAATTCTACAAGTGTAAGGTCAGCATTAGACTTCATCTGAGTATGTG